AGAACAAAAGTAACCACTCACAAATGATAACCATGCTCAAGATCAGAGGGGTATTAAATAGCATATTGGATTTGAACATATAATCTTCCACCAAATAAACCATATAGTAATCAACTACAAGATGTAATCAACACTACTAGTCACCCACAAGCACCAATCTATAGTTCCGATACAAAATTGAACACAACAGATGAACTAGGCTTTGAGATGAGATGGTGTTGTTGAAGATGTTGATGCAGATTGCCCTCCCCAAGATGGGAGAGTTGTTGGTGATGATTATAACGATGATTTCCCCCTCTAGGAGGGAAGTTCCCCCGACGGAATCGCTCTGTCGGAGGGCAAAAGTGCTCCTGCCCAAGTTTTGCCTCGAGACGGCGGCGCTCCGCCCCGAAAGTCCTCTCCTTATTTTTTCTAGGTCAAAATGACTTATATACCAGAAGATGGGCACCGGAGGTGGGCCGAGTGGAACACAACCCATCAGGGCGCGCCTGGGCTCCCTGGCGCGCCCAGGTAGGTTGTGCCCACTTGGTGGGCCCCCTCTAGTACTTATTGGCTCCAATATTCCTCATATATTCCGTAAAAAATCTCCGTAAAGTTTCAACTTGTTTAGAGTTGTGCAGAATAGGTGGCGTGACGTAGCTTTTCCAGGTCCAGATTTCCAACTGCTGGAATTCTCCCTCTTTGTGTGTACCTTGCATAATATGAGAGAAAAGGCATTAAAATTACTCCAAAAAGCATTATTACGCATAAAGACATCATAAATAACAGTAGGAAAACATGATGCAAAATGGACGTATCAGAGACAACTTCCCTTTTACGATCGATATTTGCACCTACAGTGTTGAGAAAAGGTCTTCCAAATATAATAGGGAAAAATGATATTTAGGACTTTCCATAACAACAAACTCTACTGGGTAAGTAAAGGTTCCTAGAATGACATAGACATCAGGTACTATGCCACAGGGTTTCCTCAAAGTTCATCTGCTAATTTCACCTCCATATCGGTGGGCTGCAAGTCACAAGAATAGATTTCATCATGTAAATTTTGCATAAAGAGTATAAGGTACTACACTAATGGAGGAGCCCATATTGAAAAGCCCAAAATAAGAAGTACTACCAAATGGGCAAGGTACCACTGGTTTACCCGTGTCAGCTGCTTTAACACGGCCTTTTACAAAAGATGTTACCTCTTTCTCCATAGTTTCTATTGGTTTTCCCTTCCTTTTCTTCTCCTCTGGTTTCACCTGGATATAACATACACTTTTTACTTTCCTCCATTTTTCTGCACCTTACTCATGTGTCCCAATTATGCCTTTCTCATTGTAAAGGGCAATGCATGCACTAGTTCATATTCATCTTCAATGGGAGTTATTGATGATTCTACCTCCAAGGTATCCACAACGACCTCTTCATCGGGATCCTCATCTATGTAACACTCTCATTTTCTTCTTTGGAAGTTCCATATGCTTTGCATAACTTTTAACAAATCGTAAAACAACATCAGGGTCAAGATAAAGTGTATCACTAACCTTGTTAACTCTCCCTGAATTAAGATAAGCTTTTATGCAATCAAAAACTATCTCAACTTTACCCTCTTCTTCCTCATCACTCCCCCAAGCTTCATGTAGCAAGTTTACCATCTAATAATTCCCAAGCTAGTAATAAAAGAACCCGCAGAAGCTAAATCTAATTCTTCTTTGGAATCATCCGAAAGTGCTCCATAAAAGAGATATAACACAAGCCAATCAGGAGTTTATGATGTGGGCAATCATTTAGTAGAGTTCGACACCTTTGACATGCGTTTACCAGACTTTCCCCATGCCTCTGCCGAAAGTTTAAAATCCAACGTCTAGCCTTATAAGACTTCATAGTATGATAAGAATGTCGCTGTCAATTTATCCCATGTATCAAAGGTACCTACGGGGTGAGACACTAACAATGTTTTGGCTGCATCAGCCACAGTGTGAGAGAATATCTTAAGTTTCATATCATCTGTGCCAAAAGCATTTAATTTGAATGTCCACATATGTCATAAAAAATTGCAAATGTTAGTAAGGATCATCACCGTCCTCACCCATCAATTGCTTACTGTGCAATAATTCAAGGGCACTTGGATTCGCCTCATAAGCTACACCGGTGGGGTTGAGACCCAATGTTGTGAACATCTCTTGCATAGGTGGTCCAGTCAGGCACATGGCTTCGATCTGGTAATGGTGCCCGAACTCATCCATGATTGGTCTAAGTCTGTAAACAACTTAGTACGTGTAATTCAAACCAAACTTAAGACGAAGATCAAAAGCGCCCAACTCCCCGACAATGGCGGCAGAAAAAGCTTGATGTCCTGCAAGTGCTCAAAGTTTACTTGTAGCCTTTTCGAAGTAAGAGTATCGATCCCACATGGAGCAGGAATCAACCTTTTGTTTCTTAAAGGATTTAAATAATGTGCCTGCAAGTTGTGAGTTATCCAAAGCGGTGGTGATATAATGGAAATGGTGTAGCGAGCATAAAAGTAAATACTGCAAGAGAAGTAAATAATAATGGTTGCACAAAAGAGTGTTGAAACCAATAGGATTAAGGTGTTTCCAGGGAGTCTAGATTCCCCACTAGCGTGCTCCTATAGCGGTGCCTAAATACAATGCTACGTCGGATTCCTAAGCCACTTTGCATATTTTTATTTATGGGCTGAGCCGGTACAGATACGTGCATACACGCGGCAGCCCCGTATGTCATATGCCACGATCATTTTTCTCCACTCCGGTTACCAAACGATGATTAAGAGGAAAGAGTCCCCGTGGACGCAGCCTATACGCGGTCTCTGTTTTACCGCTGTTGCAATGGTCCGGGACGAAGAGATATAGGGCCTGTCACACACCTACATCCACAACCAGCCGGTTCGCCAACAGTAATACCCTTCCGTCCAAAATTGGCATCTGTTGGATGGTCAACTTTACCCAACATCAAGAAGACTATTAACATAAACATGCAAAGAGGATATTAGATCCTAGTGTCAAACGATCTACTACACGCTAGGGTTTGTCCATATCCCTGAGAACTACAAGAACTACTCACACACGAAGGCAACAAACATCATACGAGTGATAACGGTGAACATGAACGGATTACACATGTGACACACAAGTTGATCCACTAGGGTTCTTGATATGTTACGGTGAAAAGAGTGTGAATGATGATAACAATGGTGGTGGTGAAGATGGTGATCTCCTCCTTGCCGATTTCCCCCTCTGGATCACTTCGGAGGCTAGGGTTTCTCATTCGGGACGCGTTTCTGGTGTCTGTGTCCATCTGATCCACGATCCGATTCCACAAGGTGAGAATAGTCGACGAGGCGGTCCTCCTGGCACCTCATACGACCGCCCATATAAGCGGTCGCGCTCGTATGGTTGGCCGTCTTTGGCTCTGGAGGTGCTGTAAGCGCCTCTTCTTTAGTCCCTTTACTTTATTATTTTATCATAGAAGATTATCTCATTAAATAACGTGATTCCATCATAATTTCCTAGGAACCCTTTTATATGCGTTTATTTGCTCCAAAAGTGTTTCCTGGGGGAAATGACAAAAAGAAGTGCGCAAAAGCAGCAAAATTTCACAAAGCCTATTATATAGGCACATAATAACCACCAAAATTATCACGTAAATGGGACTCATCAAGCAGCATAGTGGTGGTGCAAGTTCATCGGAGAAAAAACCGGTCATCGGCGGGGCTAGAGGGATGGCCGGGGACAGCGGCAGCACGGCGGTGGGAGGAGGTTTCTGGGCGGGCGAGGCGGCGAGGCTGCGCGGGAGCGCTGCCGGCCGCGGGTGGTGGTGGCCGGCGGTTCAGCCAGTGGTACGTTGGGAGGAGATGGAGGAAGAAGAAGGGCCGCACGCCGTTGGATCTGATCCGACGTCCCAAAACGGTCGACTAACCCTAATTCAAAACTTGGTCGACTTACCTGTGGCCACGCCCATCATTTGTACATGCCCTTTCATATACGTATGACCTGCTAGAGTTGCTCTAATTTGCCTGCCCGTCGTCATCAGACCACGCACCCGTGGGCGATGACATGCGTGGCCAAGGCGCACGCTACGCTGGCCGCCACTAGATTTCTAACGCGGATACGCGTAATCAGGACTCCACAAATGCGACAGCTCTTCGTTGCTAGGTGAAGTTAGGTCGGAATCCACCAGTACGCGCTGATGTTTTTCGGTCTCTGATCGAGACGCAAGAGATATTTCCTGCACACGTTGACCACTCGTCAGTAGCCTCCCCACAGCGCACAGCGCTGTGCCTTCACGCCAGTCCAACTCCAACCTGCGCCACGAGACTCCAAAGTCCAAACCGCTCTCCTCTCCATGCAAATGTCGATTTCACCTCCTGCCTCGTCGCCACGAGCAAATCGGCAGTACAGTAAAATAAGATCGGCAGATACACCAAGTAGGACCTGTCATGGCACGGGGAACAGAGTCAGAGAGACAAGCACCGGCCGACGACGCTCACCGTGTGTACGCGGCCGACGGCGACGGCGAGTAGTAATTAAGGTTGAAACACGCCTGAAGAGGGAGACACGTGAGTGAGCAGAGCACGATGGTCGAGCAATTTTCAAGCGCCGGTGCGGCGAACCTTCTCGCTGGCCGCCCACCTGGCCACCTGGCCGGCCCAAGTTGCCGCATGCCACACACCACATGCCGCGAGGAGCAAAGCAGAGAGCAACAGCGATGTGCCGTACGCGGCGCAGGAATGCAGCTATTCCATCCTGGGTGTTCGGTGTTCCCACCTTTGGCCCCCATCCTTTGCCTTGTTTATTGGCAGCTGGCAGGCCGGCCGCGAGAGGAGCTATCACGGTCCAGGATCCAGAGCCTATATATACGCACAGCTCACCTGAGCTGAGCAAAAGCACTGCATTATTCATCGCTCCGACAGTCGACACAGAGCGAGTCCTCACCCAGAGCAAGCAAGCAAGAAGATCGGGAGGAGGGTCGGAGTTTGATCGCCATTTGATTCGATGGCGCCGGAGTTTGGGTGGTGGCCGATGTCGCCGTGGCTGAGCCCAGGCACGGCGTCGTTCATCTTCTTCAACGTCCTCGTCGGCGCCATCGCGGTCATGTCGTCGTCCCGGGGGCCGGAACCGGCCGCCCGGCGCAAGCTCGTTCGCACGGCCTCGACCGTCGTGCTGGAGAGCCTGCGCTCGATCTCCAACTTCCCCTTCCACTCACTGGGCGACTACAGCGTCGCGTGCTCTGCACCGGCGTCGTCGCAGCTCCACCACATGCAAGCGCAGTACTATAGTGCTACGATCCAAGAGCAAGAAGCGCGGGAGGTGAGCGCGGTGGAGCCCGAGCCGGCATCAGTCGCCCGAGAAGAAGCTGTAGTGGCGGCCGCAACGACCACCTCGCCGCAGAGCGCGCCTGCCGTGGCAGAGGAGGTGAACAGGATGGAGCCCGAGCCAGCGTCAGACGCCCAAGAAGAAACTGTAGCGGCGGCCACAACAACTACCTCGCCGCAGAGCGCGGCACCGGCAGCACTCGACGCGTCAGCGACGGCGACTCAGGGCGAGGTCGAAGACGGGGAGTCCATCAGCTTGGACGAGGCGTACGCACTGGCGCGCGCAGGGCGGCAGTCCGCCGCCGACACGGTGGCCACGGTGCCGAAGAAGGCCAAGGGACGAGGAGCCTACGGATGCGGGCGGGGAACGGAGGACGTCCAAGGGAAGGCGGAGGTGGACGCGCGGGCGGAGCAGTTCATCCGGCAGTTCCGGGAGGAGCTCAAGCTGGAGCGCATCAACTCCATCCTCAACCACACCCACGCGCTGCGCCGCACCGCCGGGGCACGCTAGCCGACCGGCGCCGCTCGGCCGATCCTCTCGTTTGATCGTGTAGAGAGAGCAGAATATTTCATTTGCTTGTACAGCCATTCATGGGTCATTTCCGCAGAGAATGATGCGACAGCACACAGTTTTGGATTATTTACTGTAACCATATAGTGGCAGGCAGAGAGAACTGTCAAAACATCACATATTAGCAGATGGCACATCTCTCAACATGGTCGACGACGGACCAGTGGCGGAGGCAGAAATGCATATAATCGGACATTAGGAAGGGCCGTCTGCATATAACAGTAAAAAGATGTCATTGTTCATATGCACATTACCAAGGAAATTAGAATGTTGGGGAGGGCCCGGGCCCTGGCTGGCCCCCTGTGCCTCCGCCACTGACGACGATACAGCTATACGTAGGTGTATTGCGGTATACCTATTTGCAAACTGATTTACTATTTCACATATAGATGTGAAATAACTATTTCACATAAGCGATTCGTTAGAAAGCTGAAGAGAGACAAACGCATCGCTGTTTTCCTCTCGTCCCTGGCGCTGCAACCCTAGCCGTCGTCAGGGGAGGTCGATCTTCCAACGCCGTTCTCCGGCTGCTCCCCTCCACCGGCGATCTCGGTTGTGGTGGTGAGGGGGGGTCGCCGGATCCATGCGTGTGGATCGTTTTTACTCCCTTGTAGTCTAGGTTTTTAGGTTGTTCATCGTCTTTGCTTCGGCGACGACAATGCCAACACTGAATAAAGATTCTTCGGATCCTTCCCTGATGAGGCCATTGGTCCTATGGTTGGGGATAGATTTGGAAACCAGTCTGTTCAAGTAAGGATAACGTGGCGGCGGCATCCTCGTGGTGGACTTGTGTCCTCGGGCTCCACCGTTGCGACGACGTTTGCTCCAGCATTGGCTCGAAGCTTGGGAAGTAGTCTAGTAGCAGATGCAGATTGTGGTCTGCATCGGCGACAACTGGAAAACGGAGCATGTGCTGGGCTCGTGGTTCGTGGATGGCATGTATGGTTTCCTCCCTCGGCGTTTTAGTCATGGTGGGGGTACCAGATCTGGAGTTTGATGGCGTGTCCGGCGTGTTGCTCCGGTGATGCGGAGCATCCCAAGGTCATCCCCATGGAACTACCTACGTCTCCCATGACACCACTTGGACCAATAACAAAAGCATGAGCCAAGGCTATCGAAGATAAGGTGAACTCACTCCTCTCCGAACTACCACTTTCTATGCATGAGACTTGGCTACTACCTCAAGTGGAAACCCTATGTGTGATCAGGTACTTGGGGGAAAGCCGCGGATCCGATACACACAACAGGCAAGACGGTGTGGACGCCATGCTCGATGGACAAGAAGGACTGCTCGAAACTCCCAGGCTCCGAACGACCGGCGAACTCCGGACGTCCGACGACCACCAGGCACCGGACGACCGGCCCTCTCCGAACGACTGGCGCCCCCACATCTGAGCCAAATCACCGGATTTTCGAAGGCCTCCGGAGGACAGACGCCTCGGATGTCCGACCCCGACCGGACATCTGACCGAAGCCCACCCGAGCCGAACCTACGGAAGTCCGAAGAGCACCGGACGTCCGGACCCTCGCGAGCCTCCGAACGACCGGTAACTCCCGGATGTCCGACGCCTGTGTGTTGTTTGCGTGTTGGGCCACATCCCATGTACCCCTTCGACCCCTAAGACTATATATAGACCTCCTCCTCCTCTTTTCTAGGGTTAGCAAAGTAGTAGCTCATTAGAGATAGAGCTTTGCTCATCCATTACGGATCTACTCCACGAGAGAGACTGTGCGGCCCCTCTTTGGAGAAGATCCCCTTGGATTCAAGACCCCCTTTTGGGTGGCCCCATCAAGACCTCCTTTGGAGAAAAACTGGTTACCGTGTATCGTCCTTTGCTGATCGTGGATCATGTATCTCCCTTTGTGTTCATGGATCTAGCACATGTGTGATCATACTTATTGGTTTGAGTGTTTATCTTGTGTCCCCCTTTGTGATTTTCCCTAGTGTTTCCCCTTGTGTTCTTCGCGGGATCCGCTCCTTTCGTGAAAGATCGGCCATATAGGGCTCCACCCTACATCATCTTGGTATCAGAGCCACGTTGATCACGATTTCGAAGCCTCCCCGTTGTGTTTTCTAGACTTGTTTTGTTGATTTTGTCCCTAATTCGAAAATTCCTCACAAAAATAGCCCCAATTTTTTTGTGATTTGTTGGTGTGATGAAATTTTGTGGGATTTGATCCGTGGATTTGCTTCGTCTTGAGTGGATCTAGCTTTTCCCCTTCGTCTCCACCTTTTTCATCCACAAAATCGCTCGGATTCGACGGATTTTGACCTCTCCTCCACGAACCCTAGTTGTTCTGCACGTGCCCAAAATTCGCCTAGGCACCAGACGTCCGACCGCCTCCGGATGTCCGACGACCGGACGATCGTAAACCTCCGGACGCCCGTAAAACCCTGACGAAACTGAACTCCCCCCCCCCAAGAAAATTTCAGCCACCGCCGCACTTCTGCATACACAGCCCCATACCACCACCACTTTCCGCAACCACCATTGCTTAATCGTTTCGCACTCTGATACGCTTTTGCCACTTTGTGCTTTGAGAATTTGAGTTGCGGTTCCGTGTCCTATTGTGTTTCGGCTATTTAGGTACGGTTCGGCATCAACATCACCGCCGCTCATCTTCGACACGGACGCATCATCGACAACAACCACTACACCATTTTGACACCATACCGAAAGCAAGAGCGGTAAACTCATCTTGGTATCGTGATACATCATTCTTGCCATTACATTGATAGCCATCATAGCCTTACTCTTTTGCGTCGCTTACCCATCGAGACTAGCCTTTGAGTATTGCCGGCAACGTGACTTGTGCACATTAGTGATCATACTTCTCATAGCATACATACATACATATCATTGGTGCATATCATCTCTTGTGTCACAAAGTGTCATCGCATAGTCAATTGCTATCTTGGTTCGTGAAGCATTGCATGAGAAAAGAGCTCAAACACAAAGAGCCAAACAAGCTTTTAAGCAAAAGGGAAATATAAACAAAGAGCTTTTAAGCAACAACCATAGCATCATACAACATTAACATTGTCATACTAGATCATCTTGGATCATACCATCGGAATACCATACATAGAGCATACTTGGGATAGAAGTCGTTGCATTTTTGCTTAGTAGGTTGTGCACAAGTCTTCGTATCCGCCTATTGTGCAATCATGCTAGCGTCTCTCTAGTGTTGTGCAACAAGAGCATTTTCGTGGATTCCACATTTTGGCTCATCCTTGGTTGCACGACCCCACTTATCTCTTTGCGTGTGTGTTTCCGTGTACCATATTTTGCTTGGCCTACTTGTTGCATTGCAAACTTGCGAATCTTTTCCAACATTATTGAAGCTCACTAACAATTACATCAAATTTTGTGCCACCATCCTAACCGAGCTCCACCATAAGCTTTTACTTATGTAGGTGTGAGAAACCGACAAGAATTGGTACCAATTGTGCTATTTCCTTGTTCCGCATTGGAGTGATCTTTGATCCATCTTCAACATCGGTCAAGGTACATTTGGTATACGTTCTTCTCTTTCTCCCACTCACATATTTCCCTTGGAATGATGGATAGGCCAAGTACTTCTACCAACCCACTCTTCATCGGGCAAGATGACGGCATGAACTCCTACGTCACAAAGAGCCACCTCTTTGGTGCACAACGTGCTTTGCATCAAGAGCAACAAACAATGAGTGAACGCATCGACAACCTCGCCACCGACTTGCGACTCTCCACGCAATGCACAAGAGATTACTTCGACCACAAGCTCGACGACCACAAGCAAGAGAGTGACGCGAGAATGGACGAGATTCGTGCTTTGTTGCTCAACCGCTCTTCTTCCACTTCGTCCTCATCAAGACGGAGCCACTCAAGTCGACACTCCGACTACACCATCTCCGGCTCAAGTACACCAACTTCGAACACTCTTCGTCGTGCTGCACGCCAAGATCGTCACGCCAACCGCAACCCTCTACACGACAACAACTCTCAAGAACAACGACATCGTCAAAACCAAGCTACCTTTGCGCAAGCACGAGAACGGCAACGACAGTGCCAACACGAAGAGGAAGAGCGAGCGCGTATACACCAAGAAGCACAAGATGCCGAGGCACAACGTCAAGAACAACAAATGTGAGAAGCTCAAGCATTTGAGGCGCAACAAGCCCTTCGAGAATCAAGTCGGGCCATAGCCAACCGAGGCCAACAAGCTCGTGAGCATCAAGAAGCGCTCTGTGATGAAGTCCACGAATGAATATATCAAGCTCACGTGCATCGTAAAGCTCGACAAGTTCCTCCACAAGCTCGCCAAGAACATCAAGTTCAACAAGAGCAAGAAGACATTGGAAATTCTCCACGATAAGAGCAAGTTGTGAGAGACGATCCTCCTCGTCTAGGACGCCATCATCCCCGTCCCGAACACAATGAAGAGCAACGCTACGGCAAGCTAAACTTCAGCATGCCCAAGTTCAATGGAAGCAATGATCGCGAAGAGTACCTTTCATGGGCATTGAAGGTCGACAAAATCTTCCGCTTGCACAACTATGAAGAAGAGAAGAAGATCGCGATGGCATCCCTTGAGTTTCAAGACTATGTCCTCATTTGGTGGGAACAAGTCATTGAGCACCGAGAGGCAAAAGGTGAACCATCATCACTACTTGGGCGCAAATGAAGGATGTCATGAGATCACGCTTCATGCCTACCTACTACAACCACGACCTCTTCAAGAAACTCCAACTACTCAAGCAAGGAACCAACAATAGATGATGATGAGAAAACTATGGCAAGTTTCTTGAATGGACTCAATCACCCTATCAAGAAGATCGCCGACTTCCAACCATACTCGAACCTCATCGAGCTAGTGCATCAAGCTACCAAAGCGGAACGTCAAGTGCAAGATGACTTCAAGTATGCCAAGTTCTCATCCAAGTCATGTGGTTTCTC